TCGCCGCAGGTGGAGCCTGCCCAACGCCGAGCGCTACGCCCTGCAGTACGCAGACGGGCGGCAGACCTACATTACCGAGTCGGTGAGACGTCCCCCAACCTCTCCCCTGCCCCACCGGCACAGTGCTCACCAGCTCACCGGTTCCTTTCTCCTTACAGAACCGCGGGGAGATTAAGAACGGGAGCATTTTACGGCTGACCACCTCCCCGGTACATCTCTCTGTCCCCCCCATCTCCTTCTCCACCACCTGCTCTGGTGGGATGTGCCCCTGCAATGGGGCGATGCGGTGCTCCAAGCCCTCTGCTGCTGCCGCCTCGCTCGGTGACTTCTGGCTCATGGCGGGTCCCCTCGGTGGCTCAGAAGCGGCTCCTCTGGGTGCCTCAGACCCATCAGACCTGTCTCAACCTTCATTCTCCCTTGGCAGAGCTTGGGGGAGTTTGAAGAGAAACTAAATCATCTTGAGATGCTTTGGACGCGTGGGCCAACTCATCAAGCGTTCTTAGCGTCGTGCCAGCTTGATCTCCTTCCTCAGTTCCTTCTGGTCTCTGCTCTGGTGGCTCTGTCTCTTGGTCCAGCTCCTCACTGGGGCTGCTCTAGCCTGAACTTCCTTCCAAAACTTGTGCTTAAGCTCTTCCAGCCTTCTCCAAGCTTCTTGCTGCCTTTCGATGAGCCCCTTTGGCTTGATTCTTTCCTTCCTGGTAGGACCAAGAAGCAGAGAGGTTGTACAGCGGGATCCAGAGCAACAACTCGGATGTGAAGACTGACTCGCTGAAGAAGCTTGCAAGCCTCTCCCAAGACGTTACTTTTGCTCAGGAGTTCATCAACAGGAATGGCTTGAAACAAATCTTCTATATTGTGGAAGAAGGGAATGCGTGAGTATCATGAGAGGACTTTACTTGCAGTTCTTAACTTTTCTTCTTCCTTGCTCATGCGGTATGAGCTCCAAGCCAGGTGTTAGAGTGGACTCGGTTCATGTTCCTGGCTTGTTGATCCCTGTGCTGCGGCACGAAGGGCAGCGCTGGCAGCAGGGTGCTTGGCTCTGCAGGCTCCTTACCTGCAGGTACATGGCTGTGTCCCCGCATGCTGGCAGCTGGTGGAAGGTCCCCAGGGGTCTGTGGTCCTGACTCCTTGTGAATGTGCCCAGACTTTAACCTCCCATCCCTTTGCTGGCTGGGTCATTTGCTGCCAAGAAACCTCCTGTGATGATTGTAGCCTCTGCTGCTGCTCATTCCTGCCACCCCGAATAATCCCTCTGCCATGAGGTTTTAGCTGCGAGAGGTCTGCAGGCAGCTCAACAAAACCCTGGTTACCAAACTAGTGCCTGCCTGACTCTTTCAGGATGTGATGGTGCATCTCCTCTGAGCTCCTGTCTCACAGAGGATGTGGAGCCCAAAACCAGGCAGTGCAGTGCATGCTTTTTGGAAGTAGGGGGAGGGATTTGGGGTAATTTGGCTTCCCCAAAGGCTTGTCTGCAGTGATCTTTGTACCACGGTTACACGGCTTTCCAGAAACTGTTGAACTTCGCCTGCCTCGACTTCCTGGGATGACTAAGCGAGAGTACGATTTCTTACCCAACAGTCTCTCTTTCCATTCTTCTTCTGCTTGCTACTCCCTGCTTCTCTAGTTATTTCTAACTTACCCACCAATGTGCAACTGTAATCCTGCCTTATGGTGGTGATGGTGGGGTATCTGGACACACCTCACTGCCTTTGCTCATCTGTTCCTCCAGTACAGGGGAGATGCTAGCTCACACCCTGAAGGCCTTCATGGAGCTAATGGAGCATGATTTTGTTTCCTGGGAGACTCTTAGTGCAGCCTTCATCAAGAAGGTAAGTGCCTTCTGCAGGTTCCAGAGCCTGTGCCCTTGGGATTGGTTCCTTGTTGCCCTCATCACTCAGGTTCAGCCTGCCATCGATGGATGGTTTTGTGTCTCGTAGATAGTGAGCTATGTCAACATGAACATGGTGGATGCATCTGTCCAGCAGCTCTCTTTGTCTATCTTGGAGAACATGGTACCCACCAGTCGCCTCCTCTTTGACCTAGTCAAAAAAGAAGTGACGTTGGATCGTCTTCTCACCCACCTGCAGGTGTAAGTGGAGAGGCCAGAGCACCGTTCACCACCATCCCAAAGCTGGTGGGGATAAGGCAGTGGAGGGGATTTCTGTGGGTGGGCAGCCAGTCCTGCCCTCGCTGCTGGGGGAGGGATGGACTGTCCTGGAAATGATCTCATTTCCAGGTCAGATTCGTTCATTCATGGCTTGTTTTATTCAGATATTTTAGTACTTGAGCTGACCTGCCATTTTTGTGGCATTGGCTCTTCCTTCCGTTTCCCCAGTGTATTTAGGAGCAGTAGTATATTCCCTGCAACTTGGAGTACTGGTGCTGTACTGAACAGAGTTTGTTAAACCGCTCAGCTAAGGCAGGTCCTTCATTCCCACATCTGCCTCATACCTCTGCATCTCTTCAGTTTGGAGGTTTTTCTTTCTAGAAAATGGAGAGACTTGTGCCCAGGGCTCCTGTCAGACAGGAGTCTGCTGCTCACCCTGGGTTTTCCTGCAGCTCCAAAATGCTGCACCCACAGGTGTGCACAGAGCAATATCTGATCCACCTATGGACCATCTCACCCCCAGTCCCGCTGTCAGCAGTTGCTCACTCATGGCTCTGGCCTCTCTGGATCCCCCAGCTCCATGCAGTGGGGTCCAGCAGTGAAGGAGGGAGAGGACTCTACCTTGGGGGAGGGCAAGACCATCCTCGGAGCTGGTGACTCTCCCCATCCTCATCATCCTCCTTCTGCAGGACAAATGCCCAGCTACAGCTGAAGGCGATGGCCCTGCTCATTGCGCTGCTGCTGGCTGCGACAGATGCTGAACGGCGGGTAAGGGGCTGCTCTCATCACAGGGCGATGGCAGGGTGGTGGGCATTGCAGATCCAAACACCACAGTGCCCCTGTCAGAGGTGCTCTGCCGAGAGGCCTCTGCTGTCTCACACCCCTTGGAGTAGTTTTGGGGGGATGCAAGATCTCAAATGACAGGAGAAGTATCACGGCTAGTGGTGGCACAGTGACTGTGATGGCCTAGAACCAGCACCTGGCACATCTGGGCCACCATGGCTGGGCCCCCCTGTGATGGGGTCTTGGGCAGCTGGGTCCTCTGCTGTAGTGTTTGTGTTCTCTGGGATGGCAGGGCAGTGAGAGGAGCCTGAAGATGTTTCAAGTCAGTGTCCTCACTCTGCCTCTTCTCCTTGACTGACACAACCTGTCCTGGCAGCCTGGTGGGGCAGGATCTGTTTGAGCCCCATTGGGGTGGACTAGTCCTGGCTGCCAGGGCAGTGGAAGCTGGGGGCAGGTCTCCTGCTCACCAGTGTCATTCCTGAGACTGTTGGTTCCTTTGTTCTCACCCTACCTGTGGCTCAAAGCCAGGCATAGCAGGAAAGCAGGTCTCCAGAGGGAAAACCAACTTTTTGGGGGGAAATGGTGGTGTGCTGAGTTGGGGAACGTCTCACAGCCTCTTCCCTTCCTAGGACATGATGGACTACTTGAGGGAGAAGAATATCAGGCAGTTTATCCACAAGGTGAGGAGGTGGGGTCATGCAAGGGTCTGCTCTGTGCTTCATCCTCTGGCCTTCCTCCCCAGCCCCTGTCCCCTCAGCCCCTGCCTTCGGTGACTGTGCCTGGCTGGGTTCCCTGCGTGCCACACACCCCTTCCTTGATGACTCCTGTGAGTGCTGCCATGCTGGCACCCATGTGCCCAGGTTTGCACCTCCAGCTGCCTGCGCTTTAGCACACCCAGCTCTCACCCAACCCCAGGGGGAGCTGCGCGCTTCCTAACGCCCCCTCGAGCAGCAGGAAGGACCTGTTGGGCTTTGGCTGTTTTGGCCTGGGCTTGGAGGAACCAGGAGCAGCAGCCTGGGGGAACCTTCTCACTCACGGTCTCCTGTAGAACATCATCCACAGCTCTGAGCCACTGGGGGATGAGATGGCCCATTACCTGTACGTGCTGCAGTCTGTCAGCCTCAACCTGTGTGAGCGCCGCATGAGGACCTCCATGGATCCCTACTCACAGGTCTGGGAGCACTCTTCCTGCGAGTCTGGCCCTGCTCTTTTCCACCTGTGGAAGTAGAGGCGGGTGCCTTTGAGTGAACCCAGCACATTTGATTTCATCGTCAGTTTGTCCTGGGAGAACCTGCTTGCGTAGAGTTCACTGGCATCCCCTTCTCTCTGCTCTCCCTCCAGGAACAGCGGGAGCTCCTCCAGTCTTTGCGCCAAACTGCCTTTGAGTCGGAGAGTGAGGCGCCTGCCAGCAACGTCAGCACCGAGCGCCGGCGATCCCTGTGTGCCAAAGAGTTCCGCAAGCTGGGCTTCATGGTGCATCCCCCCTGCATCCCCTCCCCAGCCCCATGCTGGCTCCACCACCTGGCCTTGGCGGCACCTTCTGATGGCTTCCCTAAGCCTGGTGTCCCTGTTGATCCTGATGGGCTGCCAGGCAGTACTTCCCTTCTTGTCCCTTGGCACCACTACATAGCAAGTGCTGTGGAGCTGCCGGGACTCAAAAGGCAAACCCCATGGCTGCATCAGGAGGATGCTGCTGCTCGGAGAAGAAAGCAGCAGTGGCTAAATTACATCCTTTTGTGTCCTCCTAGAACAACAGCAACCCAGCAGAGGACCTCCGCCGTGCCCCACCAGGACTCCTTGCCCTCGACAACATGGTCTATTTCTCCAGGCACACCCCCAACGCCTACAGCAGGGTGCGTGCTCTCTCCCAGAGAACTCCTTGGTGGAGAGGTGCTGGTGATTCTCCACCTTCTTTTCCTTTCCCTGTGACCTGTCCTTGGCCAAACTCAGGCGAGGATGTCCCTTTTGGGCAAGTGTCCTACTGTTGCCCTGTTTCAGATGGAGCTGAGTCCTCCCTGTGGGTAGGAGCAGCCATTTGAGGCCGGTGGCACTGAAGGGTCCCCATAATTTTTAGTGTTTTGCCCACAGCTTGGCTTCCAGGCCTTGTTCACATCTGAGCAAAACAGGGCAATTTGGGCAAAACCAGCCAGTGGCTGCAGATCATCAGCCACGCTCTGACCTGCTGTGCCTGTTATCAGCTCCCGCACTGCTGCAGAGGAAGGAGGAGGCTAGGGCTGTTTTCTGGGAGAGCGAATTACTTCTGTTAGGGATGGCTCAACTGGGGGGGACAGCTCACCCTCTGAGTCCGTGGCCCATGTAATGCAAGGCAATGACCCTCTCCTCCAGTTTGTCCTCGAGAACAGCAGCCGGGAAGACAAACATGAATGCCCCTTTGCTCGAAGCAGCATCCAGCTCACCTTGATCCTCTGCGAGATCCTGCACGTTGGAGAGCCATGTATGTGTGTGCCCCAGCTTGTCCTTCTCTCTGCCCTGCTGTCTGCCAGCTGGCAGGAGGGGGGACAAGCTGCCAGGGCAGGGGGCTGCGTATGTGGGGCCACCAGGCTCTGGCATAGCTGACAGCAGGGGAAGGGGAGGTAGGGCTGGGAAATGTCCAGGTTCTCCTGGACACTGAAATCCCCTGGAAAAACTGGGGAGTCTGGCATCATCTGTCCTTCTCACCACAGGCTCGGAGACAGCTCAGGCCTTTTACCCTATGTTCTTCGGGCAGGATCATTTCTTTGAAGAGCTCTTCTGCATCTGCATCCAGCTGGTGAACAAGACCTGGAAGGAGATGCGCGCTACCCAGGAGGACTTTGACAAGGTGTGAGGGGATGCTGGGGCTCTGCACAGAAGCTGGGACCACGGGCCGTCCACAAATTCAGGGGCTCTAGTGAGCATCACCAGACTGGGGGTGATGTCCTGGGCCCTGCAGGTGCTGCAGGTGGTGCGGGAGCAGATCACCAGGACCCTGTCCCTCAAGCCCACCTCCCTGGAACTATTCAAGACCAGAGTGAACGCGCTGAACTACAGTGAGATCCTGAAGCTGCGGCAGACAGAGCGGCTGCACCAGGAGGAGACGCTGGCTGTGCCCGTGCTGTGAGTGGGCTGTGGGCAGGGAGCCAGAGCTGCGATGGGGGGCCGTGGGGGAGATGTCATGGGGCTGGGGGAGGTCAGTGAGTGCCTGCTGAAGTGGCCGTGCTCCTCTTCTGCTGGCTCTTTCCCCAGGGAGTTACGTGAGAGGCTGAAGCC